CCAGGAGGAGCAGCAAATGTGGTCAGGATAATTATGCACACATAAATATGCTCAGCTTTATTTTGATTTAGGGAGAGATTTATAGATTTAAAAAAAGTTTCATGCCAGCAGCCATTAGACAGTTAATTAATGCAGTGTTTCTCAGCCACGTTCCTAGAGGACCACCAGCTCTTTCTGTATCCATCCATTCATTCATTCATTCATTTTCCTTCAGCTTAGTCCCTTTATTCATCAGGGGTCGCCACATCGGAATGAACCGCCAACTTATCCAGCATATATTTTACACAGTGAATGCCCTTCCAGCTGCAACCCAGTACTGGGAAACACCCTTACACTCTTGCATTCACATTCATACACTTGGTCAATTTAGTTTATTTAGTTCACCTATAGCGCATGTCTTTGGACTGTGGGGTAAACCAGAGCACCCGGAGGAAACCCACACCAACAAGGGAAGAACTCCACACAGAAATGCCAACTGACCCAGCCAGGACCCGAACCAGCGACCTTCTTGCTGTGAGGAGACAGTGCTAAACACTGAGCCATCGTGTCGCCATTTTCTATGCTTGATTCATATCGTCATTAGCAGAGACTGAAAGACCTATAATGTGGTTGACAGACAAAGGAGACATCCAAAACATGCAGTGCCGGTGGTCCTCCATGATTGTGGTTGAGAAACACTTAAATAAGGCATAGACTAAAGCAGAGGTTTTTCTGTGTCTTGTAGTTTCAAATTATAAATTGTTTGGATTATTTATTGAATAGTTTTGTTACTATTTTGGTTGTCTGTTTATCTTACACAAAAGATGGTTTATTTGTTTTAGGATTTGTTTCTTTTTTGAGAGAGGACTGAACACTTGAAGACATCTAATGATTTATATCTTATGCTTTTATGGTACCTGTATGTTGTAGTTACTATATTTATGTTTTTTTTGTGTGGGGCTGTGCAAAAATGCTTTTCTTACTTAGAGTTATTGTCTTGTTTCTAGTCCAAATGTCTAAAGATTCTTAAATCAAGAAGCATTTAAGTAAACATATTAGCGTTTTCAGAACTAAAATGCCAAAATGAAGTGCGGTTTTCCTTAAAACAAGCAAAATAATCTGCCAATGGGGTAAAAAGAATAATCCTGTTTTTTGTTTTGACATAAGATTATTTTGCTCAGCCCATTGGCAGATTTTTTGCATGTTTTAAGGAAAAACTCACTTAATTTTGGCATATTATTTCTGAATACAAGACAATATGTTTTACATGTCTATAAACTGCTTCTTGATTTAAGAAACTTTAGAAATGTGGACTAGAAACTAGACAAAAGATTAAAGTAAGAAAAGCATTTGGGGCCTATTCATGAGCAGTGTGATAACCCAGGGTTTAAGTAAGCTAGGGTTTATAATGATCCAGGGTTAATGATTTGAAATGTGTATTTAGGATGGCAGACTGAATCCAGGAGATCAGCTGCTCAGTGTGGATGGCACAAGTCTTGTTGGAGTATCACAAGAAAGGTAAAACTCATCAAGGTGCTTTCAGAACATATCCATCCTTGCTGTATTCCTTGATTGACAGATGCCTCGTCCAATATGAATGGAGTAATCTATTCTCAAACTTTACCTCTCAGTTTGTCTGATTTGTCACTGTGTTTTCAGACTTGCTATTTTGTTTTCAGAATTGAGAATTGATTTGCACTTCTCGGTCAATATACAGTTGAAGTCAGAATTATTAGCCCCCCTAAATTATTAATGCCCCTGTTTATTTTTTCCCCCCAATTTCTGTTTAACGGAGGGAAGATTATTTCGCCCATTTCTAAAGATAATAGTTTTAATAACTCATTTCTAATAACTGATTTATTTTATCTTTGCCATGAGGACAGTAAATAATGTTTTACTTGATATTTTTCAAGACACTTCTATACAGCTTAAAGAGACATTTAAAGGCTGAACTAAGTAATCAGGTGAATCAGGCAGGTTAGGGTAATTAGGCAAGTTATTGTATAAGGATGGTTTGTTCTGTAGACTATCGAAAAAAAATTAGCTTAAAGGGGCTAATAATTTTGTCCCAAAAATGAATTTTAAAAAATTTAAAACTGCTTTTATTCTAGCCGAAATAAAACAAATAAGCCTTTCTCCAGAATAAAAAATATTATCAGACATACAGTGAAAATTTCCTTGCCCTGTTAAACACCATTTGAGAAATATTTAAAAAAGAAAAAATTCAAAAGGGGGCAAATAATTCTGACTTCAACTGTATAAAACAATCTGTTCAATATATTTAAAGTTTGAGTTTGTTTATGTGAATATTCAATTTAATTGAATTCACCTTTATTTGTGTAGCGCTTTTACAATGTAGATTGTGTCAAAGCAGCTTCACATAAAAATATCATAGTAAATTGAAACAGTGTAGTTCAGTTTTCAGAGATTAAGTTCAGTTCACCTCAGTTCAGTGTGGTTTAATAATCATTACTAAGAGTCCAAACACTGAAGAGCAAATCCATCGATGCACAGCTATACAGATCTTGAACCAAGCAAGCCAGTTGCGACAGTGGCGAGGAAAAAAACTCCACCAATTGGCAAAAGTGAAGAATTAAAAAACCTTGAGAGAAACCAGGCTCAGTTGGGCATGACCGTTTCTCCTATGGCCTAATGTCTTGTGCAAAGCTGCAGTCTAGGCGCCGGAGGCAGGAAGCTGGACCTAGCGAAGACTCGTCTGTCTCTGGAGCGTCGCAGCAATCAGTCTCAAGCTCTCCACTCCTACACCACAGTAGCTGCTCAGGATACGGCCTGGTCCAGGATGTGGAAATGTGACCACTGTCAATCCTCTCTCATCATAATATTTTTTATTCATTTGTGAAATTTTAAACACTACTAGACAATGATAAGGGTATTTTGACTGGTGTTTATAAAGGGTCATGAACAAATACAAACAAATACAACCCGTCATGAATGGATAAATACTTCGTATTTAGTGCCGTCTCACAACTTGGCAGGTCTGTCCTGCCTTCCGAAAGCACGTGCTTTCATGAATAATTAAGAAGCAGAGTCTTCTTATAGGATAATAGCTATGAATAATAATGAGAAACCGACGCATCACCACTCCACTAGCAGATTCGTGTGACGTCAGATTTTAATCCGCCCTAAAAATTATTTTAAACCCACAAGATGAAATTAGTTGACAAAAACTCAGAATTATCCAGTTTCATCCATAATTAAAGCTGACAGATGCTAACATTGTCTTAACTGATGCTCAACACACACTGTTAAAATCACAAAAAAAAGTATTTGAGGGTTTTGAGTACTTGAGGAACCTTTAAAAATGTCTCTCTAAGTTGCATATATTCCATATATACTCTCCAAATATTACATGAAAAATCTTTGTTTTTAATCTATAACTGAAAGTTTTTTTTTTTGTTTCGTCTCATATTGATTTATAAGGTTACGTAATGCAGTGTTTCTCAACTGGTGGGTCGCGGGAACATTTTCAGTGGGTCGTGGAGTGTGTGGTCAAAAAAACGACAAAGTTAAATTTTTTACTTATTTTGACTTTTATTTTGAAATGCATGAACGACAACCGCACTGTTTGACATGTGAAATTTCATTTAATTATAGCAACAAATATGTCGAAGCGCAAGTATGACCCTGAATATGTAAAGTATGGATTTACATATATTGATGACAAAAAAAAAGACTTAAAGCCTCGGTGTGTCATAAGTAGTACTAGCGAGATGATCTCACAAGAGAGCACGAAACCTTCTAAATTAAAACGACATTTAGAAACCAGACAACATGTTTTACTAACAGTTCAGTTTAGTTCAAGGTAACTGAACCTATCCTTACCGTAACCACTTTTTACAGTATTTGTTGTTTTTACTTTGTAATATTTCTATAAATTGATACATTTTGTTAAATGATAACAATAAAATATAGTTTATTTGTAAGTCTTGGTGATTTTCTTATGATTTTTCTGTCACTACTTGTGTATGCTAACAAATAATACAAATTAATTATAATTCCTAAAATGGTATAGTTTCTAAACATTTGGATCGCGGCTTGATGACCATGTAAAAGTGGGTCCCATGGCCAAACCAGTTGAGAACCCTGATGTAATGTATTTTTATCAATATCGATCTTCCTATGAAATAGCCATAAGTTTTTGATGTGACAGTAAATAAACAAACTAACAAATTCTTTGTATGTGTTGAAACAGTATCACTGAAACCGATCATTTGCCATTGTCATAATATTAATATTGATTGTTTTGACACCAGGGCTGCAGAGATAATGACAAAAACCGGATCAGTTGTGACCCTGGAAGTTGTCAAATCTGCAGCTGTTTTGTATGGCTTTGAGCGAGTGTTTGTCCAACCATCACCACACACATATGAAGGTAATAAATGCTAAGACATAATAAAGGGTTAGTTCACCTAGAAAATGACAATTCTGGTATTAATTACTGTTTCAATCCCCTTCTGAACATTAATTAGCATGATTTAGGTGAAATCTCAATTTGCATTTTGAAGATGGATGAATGAATGTCTCAGGGGATTGAAACGGGTGAGTAATTATTAACTGAATGTTGTTGTTTTGTTGGGCGAGGCAGTGGCGCAGTAGGTAGTGCTGTCGCCTCACAGCAAGAAGGTCGCTGGGTTTCTGGTTCGAGCCTCGGCTCAGCTGGCGTTTCTGTGTGGAGTTTGCATGTTCTCCCTGCATTCGCGTGGGTTTCCTCCGGGTGCTTCGGTTTCCCCTATAGTCCAAATACATGCGATACAGGTGAATTACTTCGGCTAAATTGTCCGTAGTGTGTGAATGTGTGTTTGGATGTTTCCCAGAGATGGGTTGCGGCTGGAAGGGCATCCGCTGCGTAAAAACTTGCTGGATAAGTTGGCGGTTCATTCCGCTGTGGCGACCCCAGATTAATAAAAGGACTAAGCCGACAAGAAAATGAATGAATGAATGTTGTTGTTTTTTTGGGCGAACTATTCCCTTAATACATTAACTGAACCAACAATATTTGT